ATACAGACAGATAGGGACAAGAAGAAAAGTATTAAAAAGTTTCCTGTGAAGACACCACTACAAAGGATAGGACTTTATAGAACTAAATTAGAAATACTGAAAATATGCCAAAGTGCCCAGTAGAAATAATATTACATTTATACACACATAAATGAATTAACTGTTTTCAATACAACACCAGTACAGAATAAGTAAACTTCTAACAAGAGAAATTTTGTTACTAAGTCCAATCGACTATATTTTCTTCATGCTTTTGCTTCTCCCATCACAGGAGAAGAAAATATTTTTCCTTTCACAGGCAAACTCTTGTGCAGATATTAGATTATCAAGTATTAAGCATGAAATTATGTAAAGGCAGCTGTGTAATTATGCCATTTCTGTTTGATTTTTGTAACAAAGTTCTTTTATGCAAAAAACCTTGAAATAAGTATCAGTTCTCAGCTATTTTCCCCTTCCTTATTTTGAGCAGCAATTAGCAAAGCAAGCCTTTTACCCCTCCTTCCTTGTGCTGTCAAGCTGTTCAGAGCAGTTTGCAACCCTACAATAGTACTATTGTGAACAGTGTCTGAGCTTCCTTCCCACAGAGAGTTAAATGGGCAGTTCCTGCTGCCCATGATTGGTGTCCAGTGAAACAATACTCAACAGCCGGGTTTTATCTGCTCCACGCCAAAGAAGTGAAGCCAGGGAACCAAAGCCTTCATATCATGCTGAACCATATGCCAACCCTGCTGGCCCCAAAGGTTTATCACTAAGAATCAGGATCCATCATGTCCCCTGTGAAATTTCACTTCACATAGCTTCTGTGAAATGCATGGCTTTGCTGAAAATTGAACCTTTTTCACAATTGGCAAGAACAGATGGATGGTAACTGTGGCTTGTCAAATGGAAATTAAAAGATTTTTAATAGCCTGCATTCTTATATGTTTGAGAGGAGAAACATTCAGAAGGAAAGAGATAAATTTGTGACCCATATTTGTCAGATGGAATTAATCAGCAATTAAAATATTTTTAAAGTATTCCTAAAAAGAGTCTAAAAATGTATTGGGTATTAATTTTATTAGCAGGGCCAAGATTAGGATTCATGATCTCCTGAGTCTTATATGGTAATTCCCAATTATTGCAAAACTGATTTTTAATACTTGTTTTATAATGACTTCTTGAGTTTTTCTGTAAAATACGTGGCATAATACACAATGGTGTGTATATGGTTTTACTGGTACCACTTCAGGATGGCCCGATCACTTAATCAGCACTGTTACATCAACAAATCTATCTCTAAATAGTTACATGCGCGCGCGCACACACACAGGTTTAGATATATAGTTTTTTTTTCCTTAACAGTTGCAAAACACAGAAGACAAGTGGGCATGTAGATACTACCTTTTTTCCAGATTTCTTAGTAATATATATTTTTAAATCTCTCAGCTGGTGCAGGATAGTATGATCTAACTGTTTTGATGACCATATGTAAACACATACAGAAATAGATTTGACAATATTCTCAACCAACTCTTTTGAACAGGGCCGGCTCTAGGTTTTTTGCCACCCCAAGCAAAAAAATTTTTGGCTGCCCTCCTTCCCCCCGCCCCCCCCCCCCTTTTTTTTTGGCTTTTACACGTTTGCACTTTGCAATTTTTTTTGACTGTTTAAAATAAAAAAAAATGAAAAAAGAATTTGTAGTTAGTGAAATAAAACAAATTTCCTACTAGTGTACTCATTTAATTTTTAAAAAATCACAATTACAAACAATTTGGGTTTAACTATACACTGTAATGAAAAAAGTTCGTGTCTTCCAGTGCGCCCCGTTTCTCATAAATTAAAAGAATTTATATGAACTGAATTTTTCTGGTTTTTATACTTGCATAGACCTTTAATAATTCAGTGAAATCTAAATTTTTTGCAACGGTACTTTCAACTGAAATTAATGAGAGTCCTAACAAATGATTTTGAGACATGGTGGACCTCAAATAATTTTTTGGTAATTTCAGTTTTGAGAAACTGTGCTCACCAGAAGCCACTGATACTGGTAATGTTAAAAGAATGCGGAATGCTATAGCAGGGTTTGGAGTGAAAAAATAATTTCTTGCTATAAATTCTAATACTTTTAGAGGAGAAGTTTTAGGACTTATTAGCTCAGATAAAGCTATTAATTCATTATACAATTCTACTGCATCAATGTCAGCAGCGTTATCAGTACTGAGCGCTAAATGTAGGTCTTGGCAGTGCTTCATGAGGTCTTCTTTGGAAAACTGATTTTTAATGTTTCTAATACTGTATATAAATTCAAAAGTTTCACAATGACCATGCAACTGATAAAATCTTTCTTCAGTGGAAATTATAGCTACATCCAAAATACAATAGAAACATTTAACTTTAAACCTTTCTTTTGGATCGAGAATAGGATCATCATGAGCCTCATAACAAAACTGTCTTGTTTTTTTCGAGAACAAATGAATTGTTGAGGTGTAAACGTTGGTTCCAAATCAAGATAATTTGCTATTGTTGTTGCTTCTTTGACCGTATCGTCAAATCCTTCATCTGAATGGTATTTTTTTAAATATTCCAGCGTTTTATTCAAAATCGTCTTTGCCTCGGATACGTCTATGGTTATATCCTGCATAACTTTGCTGGTCAAATTAATTTGATTTAGAATATTATGACAAATAACTGCAACATGAAAATTGAAACTGCATCATTTTCTGAGCCAATGTTTCAGCTTCATGTCGAAATAAAGGATCATACGACAAGTCCTGGCTTATTTCGAATAGTGCATCGTAAATCTCTCCTGATGAACATCGGAATGGTCTAATAGCATCTATCCTACTTTCCCATCTCGTTTGACTTAGAGGTTTGTGTGTGAGTTTTTGTTCAAGATGCTTCTTCAAGACTGCCCAACAGTGTGTGGAACCACTAAAAAAGTTGTAAATTGCTTGCACTGTGGTAAAATACGAAACGGCATCTTTAGATGATTTGGCAGCATCACTGACAACCAGATTGAGCGAATGCGCATGGCAAGGAACGAAAAAAGCTCGATTTAAATTCAATATTCTTTGCTGTACACCTGCATGTCGTCTTCGCATGTTTGAGCCATTATCGTACCCTTGGCCACATATTTTCTAAAGGTATTCCATAGTGTTCCAGTCTCTGTAGAATTACATCTGAGAGGGCTTTCCCAGTAGTTTCGTTCACTGGTATAAATTCTAGAAAGCGTTCACAAATTTTCACTTCTGCATTTTCATCAATTTTCACAAATTGTAAAACTATTGACATTTGCTTGGTTTTGCTCAGATCTTGAGTACAATCAACTATAATTGAGTAATATTTGGCATGTTTCAAATCCGATAAAATTTCATTACACACTCCATTAGAAATTAATTGTATTCTCATTTTGTGTATTTTTACCCAAATAATGGGTGTGAATCTGTCCATCTTTCACTCTTCATACATGCTCAGCCAAAACACTATCAAAATTTTGCCAATAACTCAACCAATTTCAAGAAATTTCCATTGTTATTCTCATATAAAATATCCGAGGATCCACAGAACGCAAGATACTGTTTGGCTAGGAAATTAATGATTGCCAGTAAACGTTCCAACATAGCTTGACTACGTAGAATTTCTGAATTTAGCAGACATTGCTGTACCGCAATCGATTGTTGTACCGGAACGTAATCTGTTTGACAGCTCAATCCAATTTGTCAATGAGTGTAAATGATTTTTTGATGTTTCATGTTCTTTCAAAAGCTGATGCAAATTTCACCAGTCATTAAAACTTGCAGTTGCTAGAAGAGTTGTCCAAGTTACAGAACAGTTTGCAGAAAAAAAACCAAAAACTACATCTTTGGTCTGTGAATACACTAACCACAATCTATTAATTTGTTCCCCATTTTTCATTTTTTTCTTCATACTGGATGACATAAATCGACGATTCGACTCATTTAATGGATACTCAAATGTAGGATCTAGTTTTGAAGGACCATTTTTCACAGTAATCATTTGCATTGCATCAGTAATTATTGTTGGCCATGTACTTGGATCCGATCCTATGTCAGTCTCTCCACCTTCCAATAATTGTACTTCAGTTTTACATTTGGATAACAGTTCTTTGTTTCTGGACTCTTCAGCTGAAGTAGTAAACCTTTGGATGGATTGTGATTGTTCGTCTTTCTCAGTTAGTGAAGATAATCTTTGGTCGGACTGTTGTTCATCTTTATCAGTTGATAAAGATAATCTTTGGTTCGATTGGTCTTCATCAGTTGATGAATAACCACTTTTAATGCATTGCTTGGAGCTTTCTCCTTGATTGTCGACTTTTTAAAAATACTTATATGAAGTACGAGATAGTTTTTCTAATTCTTTTTGCTATTTCTCTCTTTGTTGCCGGTAGGCAGCACCGGAAAGTCGTTTTCGTTTCTGTCCGGGAAATTTAGCCCTATAACCACTGGCACTGATGCGACACGGAGTTGGCACAAATGGCGCCGATATGGTGGTACAGTACACACAAGTAATCATGATTCCTGATTTAATCAATCAATAACCCTTAACATTAACACAATTACGCATGTTCAAATTGAGTGACCATGTCACAGCGTGACACGATATTTTTCACGTCTCCTATCGCACTACTGTACTTGGCCGTAGGTAAGGCACTAGTCATTGGGGCGAGAGTGCTCCCTACGAGCTGGGACACACACTGGACCCAGCCCTGCCTGGCATTTTCTCAGAGCTGAGGCCGCCCAGCTGGAACTCTGAGCCTGAGGGGCATGCAATAGAGAGAGCTCCGGGGCTGGGCTTCGGCCAAAGAAGAGGCGCTGGGCTAGCTGGCTAGATGCTGTCCCTCTCTGCCCAGTCACTTGCCCCCTGCAGGGGGGAGGCAGGAGGAGACCCCAGGCACCGGCGCGCTGTGCGGGGCTGGGGAGGTATGCGGCAGCCTCTGGGGCTCCAACAGGCAGAAGCTCCCCAGGTATCCTGGGGACCATCCTGCCCAGCCCGGCTCTTACCTTGCAGCAGATATGGCCTGTGGTGGACACTTTCTGGACGAGTTTCTGGGGGCCCTCATGCTCCCCCCTCACTGTCCGAGGACTCATCTCCCGCCACCAACACTCCCGACGCTGGCGGTTGGGGCTGCTGCTGGATCCCGGCCCCGCTCATTCTTGCCTTGGCCCTGGCCATCTTCTCGGACTCCTGCCGAGAGAGAGCACATAAGTTCGGCTCAGCCCTCCCCTTCCCAGATAGGAGGCGGCGGCTGGGACAAACTGAGGAGGAGCCCGCAGCCACTATGTTCCCACCCAGCCACTATGTTCTGCCGCCACCTCATGCGCTCTGCGGCCGGGGCAGGGCCGTGCTACCGGCTCCCACCTGAGGGGGTGTGGCTGCTGCCTGTGGGAGAGCGACGGGGACACCCCCCCCACTGAGCTGGCTTCTCCTGCCCTGCCGCACAGCCAATCAGAGCACCCAATCAGAGCAACAGGCTGGTTACCGCCCCCCGGGGCAGTCAGGATCCAGCCCAGAACACTGCCTCAGGTCAGAGCTGGGGCCCCAGCATTATGCTGCCTCTGGTAATTTTCTGCCCCAAGCACCTGCTTGCTTTGCTGGTGCCTAGAGCTGCCCCTACTTCTGAAACCACTGTTATATTCTACCAGACTGCTGTCTGTTAATTTTGCTTGTAAAAAACAAAAAAAAAAAGCCATGATTCATAGAATCATACAAAACAGGACACACACATCTTTTGCATACCCATAACTTTTCTAATTTTTACCATATTAATCCATATTTGAATTGTATGTGAAGTCCACATCTATTATTGCTGATGAAGATGACCTGCAAAGGATTAAATCAATATTTATACTGTTTTTTGCTTCTCTATGATGTGTAAAAGAAGGCCTCTTTTTTTTTTTTTCATTTTTTTATTTTTACATTCTGATTGGGTTTGTTTTAAACCTTAAAAATATCAGGAATATCAAGTCTAGTTTTCCCCGGTTTTGTTGGAGAACTTCTGGGAGGCATCAGGGATGTTTGTACAAGCTATAACATTTAAAAAGGACAAGAATGTTAAAACTTGAAACAGAAGGCTTTTGTTACCCCAAAACGTTAAATTAATGAGGTTAAACAGGTATCAACAAAAACTGTAATTTCCTGCTAGCTATGATGAGATCATACTTCATAAGATTGAATTAGTCATCTTGTCTTACAGCAAGAGAAAATCCCATATTTGTTTTTATAAAACCATTTCAAGTATATTTTACAATGGTGTAATTAAATATTGATTACGCCACCGAGTTCAAGAACAGTATATTTAAATTTCAGGCTTTAAAACAGGAGTGAGAGACTAACAGGTATAAATGAGACCTCTCCAAGGCAAGCACTAACTCCTCACTATTAAGCCTATATATGCAGTTATAATTCCAGAACTTGTATGGGGGTCCCAGAGAACAATAGGATTCAGAACTACCTTACTGCTTTTCAGGGCACGCCACAGAAATTCTGTTTAAACAGAAATTCTCCTGACATAAAACAGTAAATACATTGAAGGAATTCTGTGTGTTGAATAATATATATCAGATATAGGCAGGTAGATATGGGAATGAACTGAAATATTCATTTCATTTTGTAGGGGGGCAAAGTCAATCCATACAAAAATTGAGACAAGAACAATCTACAGTACAACACTCTATCAACGATATGAAAAAGTATGTGGCTCTGAAATATTTTTTTCTGTAATAGAAAGTGACCAGTGATGCCAGCAGCCCACCTTGAAAGAGTTTCATAATACAGCTTTATGAGCGGCAAATTATGCTAGCACAGACAGGTCACTTTTGCCTCATTTATATTTGGCTCTTTCATCTCTTTCCAACATGTCTCCTGAAACTGGATAACAGAAGAATTGATAACAAAGCTGTGTTACTAATTCAGCAACAATTATTGACAACCTGTGTTTTTGATGCTAAAATTGTTATACTAAACTAATACTGATCTAGCTAATGAAAAGAAACAAAAGCTTGTGAAAAAAAGTCAGCATTTTTGAGTTTGGGGAGGGGCAGAATTTTTAGCTTTTGATAATTTCACTTACTGTTACCATTCTAATATCCTTTGTTCTGAAGAAAGAAATACGCAATGAAGAAAGTGAAGTAAAGTACTTATGTGTCCTTACAAAAATACACATATGCTTGATACACACATCCCCAACACAGCTATTGCAGTTATTTGAAGTGTTTATGTGACAAACACCAAGATAAGAGTTTAAAAAACAATCACAAATGCTGGTTCAATCAGTGGTCTCTAGTGGTTAAAATCAAGGCATTTAAAGTGATGCTCTGGAATTATTCATTGCAAAAAAATTCTATCCTTTCAACAGGTTACTAATAGATGATGTCTGAGAACAAGCTTGTACTACCCTTAAGGTCCAGTTGTTACTCAGAACACTGCCTAATCTTGCTCCCCAGTGTTGCATTTTAACGCTAATTGCATGATCAAGCCAATAAATTGGACTCAAGGGACAAAAAACACTATCAAGTACCTGCCCTGACAAAACTAGAGGTTGCAAGAAAATGCACTTCAAATACAAGTAAGGCAAGACATGATAAGCGAGGGAGAGGCTATCAAAGCTTGAAAGACAGTCATCAATACTGACAGATTACTGTAATTCTGGCTGTCAGGATGATCGATTTAAGCAGCATATGCCAATCAATACTCTCCTCATTTACTGAACAACATTAGATATATAGTTAGGTAAGATGTCCCTGAGATAAGACTCAAACTACATTTAATGAACATAAATAGCACAATTTATGCTTTGGAATTTTAGTCTTTTTTTAAAAAAATGGGAATAAAACATCTTACATAGCAGTACAATTATCCATACAAAATTTAGTTTACATAGTTTTATCGTTTTGAATTTTCACTCTTTATAGGACTACATTATCATCCGTAATATATTTTAGCAATAGCTGAGTTTATAACATAAAATCCTAAAATGATTTGTTTGATTTTAAAATTTTTAAATATATGATTTCTTATGAATTAAAAGACATTTTCTTGGGTTTTCAAGAGGTTTGCTGTTCTGAGTACTTGAGCTGACTTTGGTTTACAGAAATCAAAATCCTTCTGATATATTTCCTTCAGTATTCTTTTTATAACTACTCGTTTAAATGTCCTTCTGAAATCAGTGACAAATGCATACATTAAACCAGTTTGCTCATAATAAAAAAACTATACAAAAATGGTTTGAACTTTTATTAGAGTTAAATGTAAAACAATTTTAACCCCACCTCTGCTCTCTAATATTTAGGTAATCTTACTTTAATGTAGAAAGTTGTACACTATGCTCGTTGCTTTGAAACTGGAATACCTGAATAAACTATTAAAAATAATCTGATATAAAATTAGCATACATCTCCAGATACTCCCAATTTTTAAGGGTAAATAAATTCTTATATTTCACATGCGAAACTAACTTATTTAATCTTGAACTGGTTAGAAGATGAGAGTTTTTAGTACAATTTAGTTCTGCAATAATTGTCAAATCTATCCATGAAAATGTGCTAGTGAGTCTGGATAGAAAATGCATAACTGTTGTGATTTTTTGCTTGGACTTGGGAAGCAATTTCCTTCATGGCACAGTGGGAGGGACTTTGGACATCCGGCCTTCCTTTGGCGCACTCAGCAGGGATCATCTGTTTGGATCATGTAGCATAAATCTACATACACAATCTCTTATGGTTAGGGATGGTGTGAATATTCACCTAAAATAACAGTATTGGAAATGCCCAGATATCTGTCTGGGGCAAAAAATCATCAACACTGAACACCTAAAATTAGCTTTGTTGTCCATTCCTCCCCATCTGTGCAGTGCCAGATCTACATTTTTTGCCGCCCCAAGCAGTGAAGCAAAAAACAAACAAACAAAAAAAACCCGAACAGTTGCCGCAGAAGTGCCGCTGAGGAAGTATTGCCACTCCAAGAATGGCTGAAGTGCCGCCCCTTCTGATTTGCTGCCCTAGGCACCAGCTTCCTTAGCTGGTGCCTAGAGCCGGCCCTGCATCTGTGGTAGGGGAGAGTCAGAGATGTACATTTTACCCCAGGTATTTATGCCCTAAACTACATTGTACTTCTGAAATCCCACAGCCAAATCTTGGATGCTCTGGGTTTTCAGAAATATGGTGCAATATGATGAGTGTCCTAGAGGTGTAAGGTAGTTTGAACAAAACTGCAGCAGCAAAATTCAGTGCAGGGGCAACGACAAGAGGATGTATATTTCCCCATTTTCAGGAGAGGCCACAGTGATCAGTGGTAGCCTGCAAAGCTATCCCTAGGGTATGACGAATGTGGGCAACCGCCCCGAGCTCTGCGCTTTGGGGGTCCCCGTGCTTCCCGAGGAAGCGGGAGGGGAGGCAGGCAGGAAGGAGCCACCCCTACCAACCTCCCACTCTCCCCAGCACCTCCGGCCTGCCGACAGGCCCCACTGATCAGCCCTTCCCCTTCCTCCCGGTGCCTACAGCTGATCAACTGTTTCGCGGCATTAGGAGGCACTGGGGGGGAGGGAGCAAGGGTGCAGCATGCTCGGTGGAGGGGGTGGAACTGGGCGGGGAAGAGACGGGGCAGGGGCCTTGGGGAATGGGTGGAGTGGGGGCAGGACCTGGGCAGAACTGGGGGGAGTTCCCCCCAGCAGACAGCAACTCGCACCTATGTCCCGGGCCCCACACCTCCCTAGGGACAGCCCTGGTAGCCTGGAAACTCTTCTGTCACTATTTGGGGATATATATATTATATATATATGTGAGAAAAAGAGAGAGAGAGAGAGAGAGAGAGAGAGAGAGCGAGCGCGCACGCAAGCACCGCTTATGACATTTATATTGGGTATTCAACGACTGATGCAAAATATATGATATTAATTGAATACAAAATGCTGATATTTTTCTTTTCTAGACTTGAGAAATACGGTGGTTGGGGTAGGAGGAAAAAAGAAACTGGCATTAGTGAACCAGTTTCCTGCCTTCTACTTTTATATTTCTATGTTAGCAGTACCCATGTTTAAGAAGAAACCTATGATTAGAATTGTGAATAATAAGCAATTCCAGATCATACAAGACAAAAAAACCTCAGATTATTGCAAGTTGTACTTAAAGTTGTTCAATTCGTGAATTAAAAATACAACACGCAGAAAAAAATAAAGTGCTATAATATATCTTTGTTAAAAGGTTATTGAAGATACTAATTTAAGACCCATTATTCCCCCTACTTTGGTTTCTCTGGCATAGAGGACTTTCCTGTGTTGTGTCATGGCCTAAACGCACAGATTTCTCATTATCCAGCTAAATCAAGGCAATCCAATGTTGTCTATGTTCAGCTCTCTGTAGTCTCCTGACAGAATGGCTCCTCATGGAGCCGGATTCACAGTGCAAAGGAAGAACCTCAAACTCAGTCTGCAATAACCTGAACCATTTTGCACAGAAGTATGCCATGTTGTGTAGCTGGCTACTTCGCTCACCAGCTCCCAATCTGTGGATTTAGATTGCTGCAGAGATTCTGCAGGATCTAGGAAAAAGGAGAGAGCATCCTGTGGAGCTTGCACGAACCCAGTGGTTCTCAAAAACTTTAGCAACCCGAGGACCCCCATTTTGATTTAAATTTTTTTGCGGACCCCAAGTCCCCTGCTCACCCCCAGGCCCCACCTCCACCCCCCCTCTTCCCCCAAGGCTCCACCCCCACCCCACCTCTTCCTGCCCCTGCTCCACCCCTGCTCCTCCTGTTCCCCACCTCTTTCCACCCCATCCCCCAAGTGCACCCCATCCTCCTGCACACCGGGGAACAGCTGTTCTGCAGCATGCAGGAGGCACTGGGAGGAAGGGAGAGGAGCTGATCCTTGGTGGCCCCGGACATGATTCCACCCACTTCCCTGAGTGCACCCCTTTCCCACTCCTTCCCACCACCTCCTGCATGCCGCTGAACAGCTGTTCCCCGGCGTGCAGGAGGCGCTGGGAGAGAGAGGGAGGAGTTGATCAGCAGGGCCTGCAGACCCCCTGGAGTACTCTCATGGACCCCAGTTTGAGAAACGCTGCACTAACCTTGATCTGTTGGTTTCAGTTCCACTTGTGGAAGCAGAAGAGCTCTTACTCACTATTTTCTCCCCCCCAGACATTTTTCCAGAGCTTGAGAATCTTTTATTTTTATATTCTGATTTAAAAATACACATCTTAGAAGTGACAAGATTAAAAAGAATTGGCTGTAGAAAGCAGAAAAGGATAACATTGCTCTCTAATACTTTTACTTTAGTAATAAAGACAATTAAAGTATCAAGTTTGGTGGAAGAGGAATACCTCTATGAGCCACTAACGTTCATTTGTTCAAATAACTTCAGTTCACTGTTCAAATAACTACCTTAAGGTTATTTTTTAAATCTCCCTTCTGACTACTCACAAATCACAACCTGAAAACTTAACAGATCAATATGAACTTTTCTTAATTAAATGAAAAAAATCTGCCCCAGAACTTGAATGGTACAAAATTTCTCAGTTTACGATATATTGTTACTTCACACCATTTTTAATTTTAAGATAAAAATAAGATGGAATTTCAAACATGGAAAGATTATCTGAAGGCAGATGTTAGTCTAAGAGGCACAACAAATATGAGCTCTGTTTTCCTGTAAAGCCCTTTTCTGGGCAAATCAGTAGAAAGCATATCAAATAAATCAAGTAAGCCCCTCTTCATTAGAAGTTTGAATTTTACAAGTAACTTCAAAGTATTTTCAACCTTTAAGTGAAACCTCAAAACATTATCTCATGAATAAAACAAGTGATGGAAACTATAAAGACTCAAAATGAATATGAAAAACAAAAGATGTAGGGAGAAGAGTAATGTGTTGGTGTACAAGGAAGATTTTTTCCATTCTCATTAAAACAAATATGTTGAAAGGCTAAAGGTTTGATCACAATGTTTCAACTACTAACTCTTCAGGAATATACTATAAAGAAAATGTAAGACCAGTTAGTGTCCAGGCAGAAACCAGGTGTTTATAAATAGAAAGGCTAGGAAACACTATTTTCCTAACTATTTAGCAACCCTGCTTTATATATCTTAGTTTATTGATATTGCCTCCTTTTCCTTTAAATTTTAGGCAGAATTCTTAATGGACATTAGCCCATATTACAAAATCTCCAAAAACATTTTTCATGATTGTCACTCTCTCCTAGCAGAGAGCTGCAAGAGCAAGATCATGTTATAGTTCAAGACCTATATGCACTGGCAGAATGGTGTGGAAAGATTCATACAGTGCCTATTTCCAACACACTTAGAGTTGCTAGCACTGCAAGCCTCTTACGAAAAAGTTTATCAAAGTAAACAAATTATTTATATTGAATGGCAAAGTTTTTGAGTCAAGAATAGAACTACCCCCTTTTCTGTAAACCTACATGCATATTTTCTGAAACATTTTCTCCATGAAAGCTTATTTTTAAATAATGGAGGCCCCCACCTTTCCTCTTCTAAGCAAGCAGGTGAGTTATGGGCTAACTCAGCAATCCAACAGCATTACATGTACTACCCCACGGATATAAAGATCCTAGATTGATCATTTGCTCTGATGGTGGCTGTAGCATACTAACAGTATGCTTAGCTGTTGGAGAGAGAGTGCCTTTCATTATTTTGCCAGCAACTCTTTTGGTGGGTCCAAGAACGGCATTAGTGGCACTAGAAGGTGCTATAACAAGTCTTACTTATCCAAAAGACTGACTTTTTGACACAAGGATTTGTGGATTGGGCAATAAAGCATGGAATTTCAGGGAACCAAGGATTTTTGAGATCTAAGAAATTGAGGGGGATTGAGGGAACAACTGTAAAATAAGATTCTAAATTCCTGATTGACCCAAAATGAGATTTTTAAAGGCTTCTGTATTGGTACTATGAATTAGAACAAACATCCTCTGACTTTACCAAATTCAGATTAGCTCACTGAACTGTATGGAAATCCCTGATCACATATTCTCACTAAAAATCCACAAATGAGAAGACCACTTAATATCATCACATTCTATGTACTGAACCTACCTACTGATAGGAAAATCAGAAATGGTGGAGAGTTTGAACATTCCATTGTTCATGAGACATAAGCTGAACACCAGAAGAAAAAATGATCTACACTTGTATCATGCAAATACTGAAGCCACGTGGACTGAGAGCATCTTGCTGGGCTGAGGGGTTAGCGGGTGGTGTCTCCTGCAGCTGCTGCTGCCGCTGGCACCTTGCACACTGGAAGGCAGATACATTAGTCCTAGAATATTAAAGGCCCTCTTCCCTACTAGCTGAGAAGGGGCTACCTCAGGTCAATTAGGGACACCCGAGTCCAATTAAGGGCTGCCTGAGACCATTTAAAACCCCTCCTTTGGTGAGAGAAAGGGGAAGAGAGAGAAGCAAGCTCCTTCCAGGCTAGTGGCAGCAGAGAAATAAGCTGCTCCAGGAGAGGCTGTGCTCCTTCCCATATGGGAAATAGCCAAATCTGAGTGCCTGCTAGGGGAAGGACTGACACCCCAAGGCAACCAGCAGGACGACACCCTGCACCAGTGAGGAGACAGCGAAAGGTGCCCCCCTGAGTTTTTGTGTTTATGAGACTGTTTCCTTTTTGTTTGGTGGAGGATCACCCCCTCAGGCTGATGCTGAGGCCTATCCTGAAAATATGACCAAAGGAGCACAGAAGGGGGAAGACAAACCCTGCCCTGAGTGGGGCTGATTACCTGAGGACCCACCAACACCAAAAGGGGAAGTGCTAAGTCTGGCGAGACGAAGGACGTGCCATGCCACACTGACCCAAGATTGTCTCTCTAATCCTGAGACCAACACAGCTATAACAATACTGTAAATTACAATGGTAGTTATTTATAGACTGTGCTCAAGTCACCTCTTAATCTTTTCTTGAAGCTGAATAGAGTACTGAGCTCCTGTAGTTTCTCACTACAAACATATTTTCCAGACCCTGAATCATTCTTGTAGCTCTTTTCTGAACCCTTCCCAGTTCTTAAAAAAAATATATATTTTTTTTAAGTGTGGACACCAGAACTGGAGACAGTATTCTAGTAATAGTCTCATAAATGCCACATACAAAGGTAGTACCAGCTTCCAGCTCTTGCTTGATATTCCTGTGATTACACATTTAAGGATCATGTTCATGCTCTTAGTTACAGCACTATACTGGGAATTCCTGTATAGTTGGTTATCTTCCAATAGAATAGCAAAAACATTTTCAAGGGTGATATCTATAATAAAATTCCAATTGCAAAGCAGTTACAGAAATCTACACACACACACACACACAAGAGCCATAACATTTGGAAACAGTAAAACACAAAGTTAATGAAATCAAACTACATGCACCTAGACAGCGACACCAGACTCTTCCCTTCAGTCACCATTACTCTTTCAGGTTCAAATCCTGCAAAGACTTGCAGATAGTAAGTAGTCCCAGCAAGCATGTATGTGGTTGAATAACTGGGGCTCTCGAGATCTCCACCTTGGCTTTTTATATCACTAAAAAGCCCCTTCCGGAGACGGAGAAGTACACAGCTGGGTATCACCTGACCAACAGTAATCCAAAAATGTCTTCCAGGTAGCATATACTACATACTGAATGATGGTATGGCATGGTGGGATGAATATCAGACTGGAGTCAGACTCCTGTGTTCTAATCATGGCTTTGAAATCAACTACTACAGTGGTTTTGAACAACTTTACCCTCTCTCAATTTCTCCAGCTTCAAAAAGGAGAGAATACTCAACTACAGGGCACAGCTGCCAACTTTCACGTGGTAAATAAGCACCCCGACTTTCACAATAAGCCAAAAATC